TCAACAGAAATAAAAATTTCATCAGGCAAGGGGGCAGAGCAAGAAACCTGAACACAAACTCTGGCAAATGTAAGTCTAGTTTTGGCAGCCGTGAGGGCGTCGACCGCCAGTGGCACTCCGACACAGCTCGCGATTTTGGATATCCCCTCCGGAGTCCAGCAGGAGAGGGGAAGATTTTTGATCTTGATCCAAAGCGGGATCGACACGAACTCTTCACGTTTAGGAGTGAAATTCGGAGACCACTTCTGGAGAATGAAGGGTTTTCCAAAGAAAAACCAAGGGCCTCCACTCCACGCCACATCATAGTCTTCAGGAGAAGAAAACTTTAGAAGAAAAAATCCATCATTAAGCGTGAGAAGGGAGAGCTCCCCTTTCAGCTTCCACGTACGCTTGATGACCGCCAACAGAGCTTCGTAAAAAGGACGTCTCCCTATCGAGTAGCCAACCAAAGATAGAGACCATTCTGGGGCTCCAGCATCAAACTGAGATTTGGTGAAGTGAGCAGTGAAATTTTTTGTAGGATGATGGGCTAGGGAGTTGGAGAAGTCATGGGAAACAGGGGTTTGAGAGGAGAGAAGGTGTTTCCAATGGAGAAGATCCTTAGAAAGAGGAACAATAGGCAAGGAGGAGTTGGGAAGAGGGGGGAAAGCGGCGGAGGAGGACATCCCTCACGGAGTCCTCCTCAAAACGGCGGGAGGAGGAGAAAAAAGCGCGAAGGGGAAAAAACCCTAGCAGAGCTTCTTACTCTATCACTTGAAAAACGAGTACTTGAAAAGCAGTAAGAGTTTAAGGAGGAAAAATAATATACTTATAAAATATAACAGAACAAAGTGGTTTTATACTTTATCTTTATCAAAGGGAGATAGCAAATTTATTTCAAATTTTTTAAGAAATAACATTAAAAAAAATTTCTTCATCCGGAAATAGATGCAAAAATTATTGCAAACTTGAGAGAACTATTAGTATAGATTTTATGATAAATTTTGATTTAAGAATTTATGATAGCTTTTATTTAAGATTTTGAAATTATGGTTATTTCTAATATTATAGTAGCTTCCATTTATGACCTTCATGGTGTTAAGTGAGCTATCATTTTCAATAATCTCTATCTTGACGAGTCTCGTCAAAAATGATGTTGCTTCCATTGCACCTTTTGTGCCCTTGAAATTTGGAGAAATTTTTCGGTGCGGTTACCAGACGTTGTCCGGAGGTGAATTAGGACATACCACGTTACTTTTTTATTCTGTACATGTGCTGTGTACCAGGTGATATGTTGCGTCCTAATTCGCCTCCTGACGGTCCGATGCTGCACATAATAATTTCACTAAAATTTGAGAGATGTTAATCTCCATGATATCACCCTTTTGTTGTGATAGTAGGTAGTCATCCTTTACATGATATCATCATGATGATTCTCCTTTTAACTTCGAGCAAATTTTATTTTATTTTTTGACTAAATTTATCATATGTTTGATTGCTCGTCTTACCTCCATTTTTTGTTAATGTTTTAGATGGTAATCATTATGATCAAAAGTTTTCTTTCTATACTTATTATTTAACAAATCACTAAAAATATCACTAAATTTAATGGCATAGTGATCATATAATTAAGTCTTATTTAAATAAATGTATATTTTTAGCATATAATTTATTAAGAGTATGTTGCGGGCTAGAATATATGCAGCGATAGAGTTAGAATTTTGCGTTTGTGTTGTATGGACATCCAACACACAAATAGAGAATTAAAAAACACAAGATTTTTTTACGTGGAAAAGGGAAAAAAACATGAGGCCACGCCCAATTGAAATGATTACACAATTATTTGAATAGCTTACAAATAATTGATTTGAACTTGAAATTGAGGACGATCATATTGACACAGTTAATCATCAGTGTTGAAATCTAGTGACGAACGGAGATTGGACGGAAATCTGGTGACGTTCGGCAGTCAGACAGAAATCAGGCGTCAGTTGGCAGCTAGTCGGTAGTCCAGCGACAAATGGTAGTCAGAAGGAAGTCCGGTGATGATTGGTGGCCGAGTGGAAGTCCGACAACAGATGGATGTCGAGTGAAAGTCCGACATCTTAAAGGTTTCGTTTGGGACAACTTTCTCATTACTTTCTAAAGTAATTTTATAGTATAAAAATTTATTAAAATAGAAATTTTTATACTAGATAGAAAATTATTTTAGAAAGCAATAAGAAAGCCATATCAAATTACGCCCAAATTTCTCCGCATCATACTTTGTATTAGATAGTATGGTTATCTATATGGAATCTCTTATAAACACCACACTATAATTTCAGATTATTTAATATGCTCATGTGGCTAGTTAGGCACTTTATCTATCAGCCATTGAAAAAAAAATTTGGGGGGTGGGTTAGAGTGGATCAAGTTAAAAGATTGATAAAGTTAATCAGGTCGGGTCACACGTCAAATCAAATCGAGTTATTTGATGATAATAGGTATTATGTCAGATCTAGTTAACCTGTAGACTAGTTTGATGGTCTTTTTCTTCTTCATTGATTACTAAGGTGCTTCAAATAGTTCAAATCGTATTAAACATATTCCAAAGTTAATTTTGATCTCTTATAGTTTTAAGTTTAGTTTAGAACAATTTTTAGTCACTATTTTTTTACTATTTTTTAAAAAATTTATACTAAAAATTTGCTCTATAAAATAGTAACAAAACTGCCCCTAACGAGGCTTTAAACCAACTTAATTTTAATTGAACTCCAAATTCAATGATTAAAAAAAGAAACCAACTTAGGCTTCAATTTGTGACGGCTTTTTTACCGCTTCTTGAAGCAGCTTTCTAGTACAAAAATTTAAATTTTTATACTAAAAAGTTGCTTCAAGAAGTAATAAAAAAACCGTCCCAAATGAAACCTTAGACTTTGTTTGGAACAACTTCTTTGTTGCTTTTTTATAACGGCTTTATAGTGTAAAAAAAATAATTTTACTAATTTCATCATCAATCTAAGCACTGACATAAAATTTTTTTTTTATTTTATTAATTTCTTTTTCTGTGATTCTTTATACTAAACAAATTCCCAATATATTAAACTATGATTTTTCTTATGCCAAAAATCAAATAAAATTTAAACTGCTAATATTTTATCATCCAAATAAAAAATAAAAATAACATTCACATGTTTTCTAAACATTAAATTAAATAACCAAAAAAATTGGAGGTTGTGAGAGAGCTTCCAAATATTCTTCTTTATTCTCTCTCCTCCTCATGTGAAGAATGAGGGGCATATTTATAATTTTTTATGAGTGACATGACTAGTAAATATGGAGAAGGTCAATGACAAGTTGGGAGTGTTCCAATGAACGATCGATATTAACTCCCTCAACTATAGATTGTTTGTCGAGCATTTAAGTACCTTAATGATGTCAGAATTAGACGTTCTTGAGCTCATTGAATTCATCTCGTCAAGCTGCTCGATTCGATTATAATTATGTCATATTTGAATATCATTTGATCATCCAATTAATACTTTGCTTTGATCATTTGATTTGGGCTCATTTGGGCTGGGATTCGACTACATTGGTATTGTTGGTTTGTCTCTTTAAGATCAATTTCACTATAAATTTACTGAAATTAGAATTCAGGTGATCTTGGATTTAACTTTTGAAGCTTCTTACTCCTGCTTGCTTTGAGATACATTCCTGATCTAGATGAATTTATTGATGGCATATCAATATTAAACTTATACATTCTTTTAAACTTCTTAACAAATTCAAAATCAAATGAATATTAAAATATAATGTTCATATCTCATTATCCAAGTAAAAAAGAACAAAAAACTATCACTAATGTTCTCCTAATTAAGTAATATAATGGAAATAATTTAACTTTTTGTCTTTATAATTATTTTTGTTTCGTTTTAATTTTAAGTACATTTATACCAATCAAATACACAAACTACCATTTTTAAAACTTCCTAATGAACCTAAAATCTAAGAATTCTAAAATTCTAATATCTCATCATCAATCTAAAAAAAATTATTTTATTAAATTTTTCATTAATCAAATAACCGAGGTTTATGATGTTTTTATGTTCGCATTTATTTTCAATTTTCATTTTTTTAGTTTCTTTACCCCAAACAATTATTTTTAAAGAATTCTAAAATACTAATATTCTCATCATTCAAATTAAGGCTTCATTTGAGAATGATTTTTTACTGCTTCATAAAGTAGGTTTTGAGTACAAAAATTAAAATTTTCATACTAATAAGCTGCTTTAAGAAGCAAAAAGAAAATAGTCCCAAAAGAATCCTAAGTGAGAAAATTTTATTTTATCTTTATATTTATTTTTAGTTTCCTATTTTGTAATTATTTTGCCCATAAAAATCATAATATATTGAACTACAACTTTTTTAATCTTCCTAATAAGCCCCAAAATAAATGAATTCTAAACTTATAATATCTTATCATCAAAATAAAAAATAAAAATACTTTAACTAAATTTCTTATTTTTTTCATTTATTTTCAATCCTTAATTTTTTAAATTCCTTTACACAAAATTATAACAAATTAGACAAATTCTAAACTGCTAATATCTCGTTTCACTAATTTTCTCATCAATCAAATAATGGAGATCATAATTTATTTTGTTAATATTTATATTTATTTTTCAATATCCTTTTTTGTAATTAATTTACACCAAATCAAGTCATATAAAAATATTAAATTACTATTTTCATGAACTTCCTAATAAGCTTAAAATCAAACAAAATTTAAACCGTTAATATCTCATCTTCGAAATTAAAAAAAATTATTTCTTCCAATTTATGGAAATAATTTAATTTTGTATCTTTACATTTATTTTTAATTTCCTTTTTTCATAATTCATTTATACGATTTTCTTAATTTCCTAATAAGCCAAAATCAAAAGAATCCTAAACTACTTATATCCTCCTCTTCCAAACGGCTAACCCCAAAAACCCTAACTCTCTAATCTCAACCTCTCTCCATCTCTCTTCTCGCTTCAATGGCTTCCCCGATTCTTTACCTCTTCTTACTCGCTATAATCTCTTCGCCGCCGGCATCCGCCGAAGACTCGTCGGAAGAGTGCCCATTCCCCTACATTTCACCTCCTCCGCCGCCGTGCTCGTCGGGCTGCTTGTCTTATCCACCGCCGCTGGAGAACATACCGTACTACGAGCCGCCGGCGGGAAACATACCGTACTACGAGCCGCCGTCTGGAAACATACCGTTCTACGAGCCGCCGGCGGGCAACATACCGTACTATCAGCCGCCGACGAATCCCTACTTGGACCAGCATCCGCCGCTGCCTCCTGGTTCTACACTGTCCTGGTTCCCCGTGCTCAACGATACAAACCCAGCGCCGTCACCGGCGAAATTTCCCGGTGTGCTTCTGAGTGGCTTGGTTCTGGTATCATCCGTTCTACTTGTTTATTAGAGAGAGAGAGAACGCGCGCGTAAATTTATTGAAAAAAATGTTAAATTTCCCCTTAGATTGATATAATTCTTAAATATTATATGTAATATTAATCTTTAACGTGCATTTTTGAACTTCAAAGCTCATTCTGATGCAAAAAGATATCTTATGAATTTTTTTTCCTAATTTATTTGATCTAAATCTACATCAATGACTCTAATTATATTGTACCCCACCGGGCTTAGTTTATCAATATATCTTATTAGTTGAAAGTTTAAGCTGTCAATATTAAATTTAATTTTTGTATATACAATGTGTGTAAATTCATGATTTATTTAGCTAAAAGTGTAAAAAAAAAAATCTTGATGATAGGATTATGCCAAATAATGATTTTTTTGGAACGGGTATCTATCCGCTGTCACCCTCGAAAAGTCGCTTAACGGCGGCGTGACTAATCTTCGGCTGACCTAGAAGAGGCACCCACATCAGAAATCTCCTGTCATGCACTTGATTGGGCCACACTTAAGAGCACTGCCGCTCGAGAGAAATCGAGCATGGGTTGGAGGTTCCCAACCGTACTCTCAATGACATATTTTGAAAGTATATTAAATGGAATTAAAAAAAAAAAGATAAATCTATTTGGGTAATGAATTTTGTTGCTTGCTAGAATGATTGACATGTGGATGGTCATAGTTTGATAATGAGTGTGAAAGATAAAACAAATTAGAAGTCCCAATAAAAAAATGTAGAGATAATTTATTAGCTATGACTCATATACTTTCTAATGATATGACAAAACATTAATTTTCTAATCAATAAAAAAAATCAAATAATTTGATTTTTTTAATCTTTTATTATTCATTTATACCAAATAAGTCAAAGTATCGCAAACTACAATTATTTGAAACATTGTACTAAGGACAAAAACAAACTAATTCTAAACCTCTGAAATCTCATCATCCGAGTTATAATAATTTTCTCAGGCGAATTTAGAAAAGGAGCATATTTTTAATTTAATTAAGTAGAAGTTGTTTAATATATAGATAATTTAAAAAAAAGCAAATACGTAAAACTATTTTTTGCATGCCTAAAATATGTGAAATTATTTTTTGGTTTCTTAGAAGCTTTTCTTTCAATGTGAAAAGTTGTTTTCCGTATTTTATTGAATGCTAAAAACTATTTTTTGGATTATCCTTTGATTGAAAATTTTAATTAATTTTCCTGAATTTGTCTCACAAGTCATTATTTCAGACATTAAATAAAAATCTTATGTTGTTGAGTCTATTTAACTAACTTATATTATATATTTATGTATTTAAAACTAATGTTTCTAATTATTAAATATATGTAATCTATTACATTACATTTTTTATCTTTAATTTATTTGAATTTCCTTTTCTTAATTCATATACACTAAATAAAGTCATCATATATTAAACTTAGAGGTGTCAAAATGGGCAAGCGGGTTGGGTTTAGGTCCAACTTGAAATTGACCTAACCCGAATCTACCTGTGTAATAAATGGGTAAAAAATTTTGAAATTGAATCCGACCCTGGAAGCAACCTGAAACTGTCTTGATTACCTATTTAATTAAAAAAATATATAATTTATTAACTTATTAATCATAAATTTTAGATTAATTGATAAAAATAAGAAGAGTAAACCAATAAATAAAAATATTAATGAAAAAAGAAGTAGTAAACATATAAGTTTGGAGTCAAAATAAGATGGACGGGTCAATCCAAACTTGATCCATGTGATAAATAGGTCGAAATGCTTGACTAGAATCGAACCCGTTTATAAAGCAGATAAACTAAAATCCATTTTTTTTGGTCTGATTCGGGTCTAGTTGACAGGTCAGTTCATTTAATTTTTTTATTTAATTTTAGTTTTCTTTTTTTAATTCATTTATATATCAAACTACAATATTTTTTTGACTTGCTAATAAGTCCAAAATCAAATGAATCTCAAACTGTTGATATATAATAATCTAAATTAAAAAAAGTATTATCACTAATTTTCTCATCAATATAATAATTGAGATAATTTAATTTTTTAACCTTTTCATTTATTTCCAATTCCTTCATTTGTATTCCTTTATACAAAACATAGCTCGTCCTTCAAAATAAAAATAAAAAAATATTTTAACTAATTTTATTATCAATTAAATACTCGATATCTTAATTATTATTATAATTTTTTACATTTATTTTATTTTAAGTTTTTAATTTCCTTTATATCAAATTAAGTCATAATATATTAAATTAAGATTATTTGTCTTAACTCCCAAAATAAAACCTAGCTAACACGAATCCTGAACCGCTGATATCTTCTTCTAAACGGGTACGCCCAAAAGCCCAACTTCTCTCTCCTCTTTTCCTCGCTTCAATGACTTCCCCATTCCTTCTCCTCTTCTTCCTCGCTCTAACCTCTTCTCCGCCGGCATCCGCCGACGACTTGCCTCCGGCGTGCCCATATCCCTGTCTTCCACCCCCGTTGTCTTTCACAAACTACCCTCCACCACCGCCGTACACGCCGGACTACTCGTTGTATCCGCCGCCGGCTGGCAACATACCGTACTACGAGCCGCCGACGACTCCGTACTCGAACTACCCTGCTCCACCGCCTCCTAATCCTATACTACCCTGGTTCCCCTGGTACTACCGCTACCCCCCACCGCCGTCTTCGGCGCCCCTGCCGGCGAAACTTTCCGGCGCCCTTCTCACTGCCATCGTTATGGTATCATTTTCTACTTGTTTCTTCTTAGATGGAGAGTACTTTATGTGAATCGCAATATATAAATGGCTCTTTTTTATTATATTTTTTTGATGAATTGTGTTGTAAGAAACAAAGGGAAATTGGGCAACAAGTTCTTGTAAATTGACTGTTTACATATATTTCTTTTCTTGCTGCTATTGCTGAAATTCGCTAATATATAATCCACAAATAATTTGTGCAAATCTTGACGAAAAACATTTATGTGATTAGTTAAGTAGACTATCTTGAGATGAAATTTGCATTTTGCGTTTGCTATTTGAAGAAAAATATATATTTCTGACATAATTGTTCCTACTCAAACTTTTTTTTTTTTTGCACTCTAATACAAAATTTCATAGATGATGACAAAGCTTCCATCCAATGAACTGAGCTACACGCAGTGGTTTACAAACTAAAAATTGAGTCTTTATTTGTGGAGAAATTATTATGTGCAGTCAGGACATATCTTGTGTCCGGACTCCAATCAAAATAGACCTCGTCCCTTGTATAATAATAATAAAAAAAAAAAAAACACGCAAGGTGTATATAATACACGCCCTGTGTAAACGCGTCGTGAACAATTTTGATTGGAGTCCGAACGCATCCAGCAGGCTCTGCACAAAATAATTTATCTTATTTGTGGCACCTTTCTTACTATACTTTATAAAAATTGCAACTCCTTGAATGGACCTTAATTGCTTTACATGGATTTGTTTGAAAAAAAGCAAAGAAAATTAAGCAAAATAAAAGTAATTTTCATGGATAGCATAAGACTTAAATGCCCTATGTTGCTCCATCATATAATTGGAGATTCTCAATTCCTATGAGGATCTAAGGATTTCAATACATGTATAAAATATAGTATATATAATAATATAAATATGATAACATAGTAATACTAAAAATTTTAACATTCATACATAAATCGATCAACATGAGAACGAGGTGGACTCGAAAAAAAATTATAACCAAAGAGAGATTACCATTAGATAAATTATAGAAGATATAATCATCTGTGTAGACATGGGAAATTATCATGTGCAGAGTTTGGACGGGGAGAATCGTTCGGATTTGCTGCGTATTTACTACGTATTTGTTGCATAATTATAAATACTCAGCAAATATTAAGTTTTGAGTATTGTTGAGTATTTATTAAGTATTTATTGATTATTCGCTGATTATTTGCTGATTTGTTGTGTATTTGTTGATTATACGCAGCATTGCAGACGATTTTTTCTATCTGGACTCACACAAAATAATTTCCCGTGTAGACAGAGAGGAGAACAAGACGTTATATGCCAAGCGAGTTGAAGACAAAACTTTAGCTCGAGAGGTAGGACTATTTGGATTAAGAAGAGAGCAAAGACATACAAGAGAAAAATAATATTAAAATTAATAAATTATCTATATTTTATATTTATTTTAATAGAAATTTAGAAATTTAAATCAGAATATTATAAAAATTTTAGCCAAATTATCCACTTGAAGAAGCTTCGCGATGGTCTTCAATTGTGTATACCCACAAAAGAGTATTTTTTACATGTCAATATCTAAGAAATAATTGCTTCATAGAAATGATAGGGCCACGCCAATATTCTAAGTTGAGTTGTGGTATGAATTTGTCAATTAATCTCAAATGGTGACAAATAGGGACAAATATAATTAATCAATCAAAGTGGGTGGAAAGCTTTAATAGGGGGACCTTTCAGCATAATTAAATAGTGGTACCTTGATTTCAAAACTGCCATTATTTTCTATCAGCTTTGATGGCACTAATGGGTCTGCCCTAATTTTTCTTTTCTTTTCGTTTACTTTTATTTTTCACCTAATTAAAAATAAACTCACGCCTACAATATATACGTAAGTTTAGAATCCAAGATCTTTTAATTAGTAGTTAAAGCTCGAAAATTATAAAGTTCCTGAATATTCAATTCCTCTTCCCCTATCCTCAACTTTATTGAGATGAATATTATCCACTTGCCATTCCACTAGAGCGACTGGAAATGGTCGTATTATATTTTCTTCTTGAGTTTTTTTATTGCTTGTAAGGCCATATGTCAAGAAGGCAAAGATAGATCATGACATTGAAGTATGTTTAATAATAAAGAGAACTACAAGTGGAATGAGTTATTTAACTTTCGTGCGCCCTTTGTTAGATTATGCCTTTTTGTCGGATAATTTGATTGATTTCTTGTTGATAATTGGCAGATGGGTGCAACGAAATATGCAAGAATAGATAGGTAATGCGATATGTCATGCACCATATTAGTTCAAGAGATAGTTGTTACCAACTTTCCATGCAGTAAAAAGAGATCATTTGGTGTCGGTGTGTGCATGATAGAATAAGGGTCATAATGATTTGCTTGGTGAGCTAAATGTTGAGTTTTGATTTGGGTGTTCGCTAGAATCTTGTTCATACTAATAACTCCCACTTGCCTTAGGCTTTGTTTGGGACGGCTTTCTTCCTGCTTCTTAAAACAGTTTTTTAGTAAAAAATTAAATTTTTGTACTAGAAAGCTGCTTTAAGAAGCATTAAAAAAGTCATCCAAAATGAAGCCTTTGTTTAGGAATCGAGTACAGTGTCGTCCAAATTTGTCATAAGCATATGAAAATTTTGGACTTGACTCTAAATTTGCATGCATGAAGTCTCTCATACCTTTTTTTTTTTTTGTAGCATCATGGTGTTATTGGTTGGCACTTGCATTTTGATCCTTCAGATTAAGCTGGATCACAAATGAAAAATGTGATACGATTGAAAATATGCTTATGTGGCCCTGTTTTATTAACCACAAGTAATGGACAAAGTAGAAAGAATGTCTAAGTGAAGAGCCAAGAATTTAATTTATAAATAGGCACAACTTTATTGACATCTCAGGCCGGTCCTTTTTTGAATTTACATTGATGTGCAATATTCTCATTTAACTATCGTATGATGCCAAACAATATTAATTCAACGTATTTACTCACAGATGTTTGATGTTGTCCTTACTAGTCATCAATCTTTGCTCTTTTAAGGAGAAAGATCAAGAAGACCACTAATTATCACCCATTATTTGACATTCCTAGCCGGTCATCGTTTGATGCATTATAATATTTGATGTATGTTAGCCATTGATATATAATGCCCACCTTTTTATTCAATGGATTCACCTCCTATAAGGTAGGGGAGTTAATATTTGACACGATACAAACATCCGACCTAGAAATTTCGGGTTAGACCCGACACGTCGAGCGAGTCTGCTGTGCACCCGGTCGCGCACCCACCCGCTCGGCCGCGCCAGCCAGCTTGCGTCCGCGCCAGCTTTTCCGTTCGTGCCGGTGTCCGCGCTAGTCTCCTTCCCGTGTCTGGTCGGATCAGGTCAACCCGGTAACCCGCTGGGCCGGGTCCGGGTTCGAATATCCAACCCATTTATCTACCCGGGTCGGATTAGTGTCGACCCGATTGAACTCGGGTCAGTTCTGGGTTCGACCCGAACCCGATTTTGATACCCCTACTATAAGGAGAGCAACTAAGCAAACTATGGATTGCCATATGACATCTGACTTTCTCAATTGACCGTCATCTATTGATTACAGATGCTCGATGCGTATTTAGACACTAACTTCAACATATCTCCTCTTCTATAAATAAAATGATAGAGTAGAACAACAATTGTCACTCAGTATTTGATTTTTCTGATTACTTGATCATTTTCAATTTCTAACGTTTGTCAGCTACTAATGCCTAATGCTGACTATCATTCTTATGTCTATACTCTTATAAGGAGAATGAACAAGCAAATTGACTACCTCTTGATATCCAATGTTCTCAATCGATCATCATCCAAAGCTTATAAATGACCCACACCTAATGCTCTTCAATTACTGACTTCTTATGCATGTCTTCCTAATCACTTGACCTACCCTATAAACAGAGCAAATAAGGCGAACGCCCAAATTGCATGATGATAACATTAACACTTCAAAGTTTATCCTATCCCTACAATGACATATATCTTATATGATTTATATTTGCTATATTAAACTAATAGTTTCTTTAATTATAGGAAAATGTGCAATCTATAATATTTGGTTTATAATAATAGAATTTTCCAGCTAGGCTAGCTCCGTAAGTTTCCTCTTCTAAAAATTTCACAAACAAAATCTTATGTCTCTTATGGGAATTTTTATTAGGTCTGGTGTCCTGACGTAGCTCTACATTCGGACGCCAGTAAAATGGTGCCACGTGCTCTTACTCTTTACCGTGCGGACTGACGACCCGACCCGGACCGAACTGCTAGGTATTGCTCGGTATTGATCTTGACAGAGCGGTATTTCTTGTTATTGTAAAGAAATACCTAGAAATACCGAGCAATACCTAGTAATACCCGAACATAGCAATCCCGGGTTCCGGTCTGGATCGGGTCGTCGGGCCGCGCGGTAAAGAGTAAGAGCACGTGGCGACATGTTATTAACGTCCGGATGTAGAGCTATGTCAAGTCTCCGGACTTAATTATTGTTCCTCATATGGGTGGCTTTCAACTCTCAACTTATGTTGATATGTAAGATATTTTTATTTAATCTTGGATGACAAACTCAAATATATATAAAAACGCATTTGTTAAAATTTGAGCTTAAACTCATTTATAAGCATATTGATTCTAATTCAAATTCTTTGTAAGAGAAAATTAAATGATATTTGAGTGTTATTTAAATAAATAGAAAATTTTAGTTCTTAGACATATAAATATATAAAAAATTTATATAATTTATGTAAACCTCCCTTAAAATTTTCTTGTAGAGATAAACTATTGTTTTATATGAGAATATTCATGACGATAGAGAGAAATTGCTTAACATTTTAGCTTTATACAAAGATCCAATACATATAAATATAATAGAAGAGTTGCAAGAAACATAAGAAATTTTATGTGGAAAATCTTTAAAAGAGAAAAATAAATGGGCATGACCCAATAAAAATGATTTTACCGGCATATATTATTGATTACAAAAGACACTCTTCTCTATAATTAGAGAAGATGTTTATATAACTTAGCATATATGAACTATGTAAATTGAATTTCTTGGTGAAATTTAAAAAAGTCTTATAGCATATAAGCTCTCTTCAAAATAATATTTGTTGTACGCTCAACTATTCTTTTTTGAATATATGAGATTAGAAGCTAAGAAGTCCAATCTATTTTTTTTTTTGTTGGTGTCAACAATATAAATCGACTTTATAAGCCATAGGGTGCATTGATGTGGGTGGCGACAAAGTCGGTGAGCATTAGCCTTTATCACGATTGCATGCATCAATCTTATAGACGATGACGTGCATTAATGTCATAGGTGATGACATACGATGAATTTGACTAGGTTTAGTGTAGTTGGTGCTAGTGGTTAAGAAACTTTCATGGTGTGATTGTGGTTAGAGGAATATATTTGAGAGATAGTGTTTGTAGGATCGTTGTTTGGCGATGATGGTCATTTGATCTTAATTAAGGAATAATAGCTTGAGGATTGTATAGATGACATTGGTCAGATGACTGTAGTTAGGTGATGATGATCATATGATCGTAATCAGGAAATTGTGGTTGGCAGATCGTAGTTCAGGTATAATAGTCAAAAGATCGTAGTCAGACAACAATAGTCAATGGACAATAGTAAGGGAACAATGATCAAAGGATTGTAATAGGAGCAATAATGATCGAAGGATCATAATATGGTAATGCTAGTTGAAGGATTGCAATTGAGCGATGGTGGTTAGAGAATTATAGTCAAGTGATGATTAAGGAAACCACAGTTCAACGATGGCGAGTAAGAGATTATAGTCAAGTTATTGTGGTTGGAAAACAATAGTTGATGATTATGGTTGAAGGATTGTACTCAAGGGACAATGGTTGAAGAATCATGTTCGAGCAACTTTGGTTGGAGGATTGTGCTTAGGTGACAGATGTTCGAGACTCATAATAAGATGATAATGATTATACGACCTTAGTTGAAAGACATAGTGTTCTTTTAACATTTAAGTGCTCTAATGATTTCAAAACTAAGTAACATTAGGCTTGTTGGATTCATTTTGTCGAGAAATTTGATTTAATTGTATGCATATGAGATTTGAAGATCCTTTGATCCTTCTATTAATGGCCCAATATTTTTAATTATATTACACGTGCTTGATCTAAACCCGTTTGGACTTATAAACTATCATATATATGTTTAAAATAAATTATGAAAATCCTTTTACTTGAAGCTTTATATAAATTGTCGGATTCAAGATTAATCTGACACCATTAGCCGTAATGATGGTCACAAATTATCGTTGATTGTAAATTGATCCCGATCCCTAATATTTGTAAATAATTGCACCCATAACCAAACATAACCAGAACCTGCAATTTTTTTTTCTTTTTCTAAATTAGAAATTCCTACCAGTACTAGTCCTTTTTCCCTTCAACAAAAGACAAAACACTTAGCAGCAGAGAGCGTGCAATCGTGTGTGGTGCACGTGCCATCTTATGAATGGATAGACATTTCTGACGACAAAGAGAGCAGGAGTCGCGCCGCCTCCGCCACTTCCTCGCCGTCCCCACTTCCACCAAAGTCCGCCGGTGGCCATTTCCGCCACCGCACATTCAAATTTCTCCGGCGGAAAAGCAGAACCTTCAGCATCTTCTCCTGCTTCTCTCTTTGCCTTCGCTTTAACTCCTCCACTTCTACGGCGACCTTTCCCTCATTCTTGCAACTCATGGCCGTTGGCTTGTTCTCCTCTGCTCTCTTGAATTCCACTCTTCTCCTCTTGCTGTATCGGATTCCACAGGCATTGCAAAGAGACTGGAATAAACCAATAGTTATGCATAAAATACTGAACATTCGACCGTTAATTAGTCCACCATTGACGATTTTCTCTTAAAGCTATGTTAGGATTGGTGGACAGTGAAGGAAATGGGATGAAACTTTTGAAAAGGTTAAATTAACGGTTGTTTATTCATAATCAACTCTTAAATACTCGACCGTTAGGGAAGAAGAACATAAATAAGAGAAACACTCAAATCAAAAGCTAAATAACTGAACATAAATAAGGATGGGGATGTTGCGTTGAATTTGGAATGATCAAATTTATGGTTTCCTTTACATTCAAGCTTACTGATTCAGGGAAGAACTTCTAAATAAGTGAAATAGCAAGGTTTTGAAGCTACTGTTCTACTCTAACTTATCATTGCGAAAGCAATCAAAAGTTAAATGAAGCGGATGAAGAGGGAAGAAGGAAACGGAGGGATTGGAAATAGAAAAGCAGGGGAGAGGGAGAAGTATAAACCTTGGGGCCGTCTGGTCCACTTCTCCAAAGAGGGGTGTTGGGGGTCTGGCAATCAGAACAGAACTTAACGGGCTCATCCATTGAAGTAGCTGTTTTCTCCTTGCATTGCTCGTCTACTTTGGTCCTCTTTCTGGTCATCATTACGCTGCCATGACCAAGGATCATGGTGGATATTCTTGAGGTTTAGTGTGCAGGGAAGGTGAAAATTTTGCAATTTGAGGGAAGAGATCATGGCGTTAGTTCTTATATGGCCCTCTGGTGTTTGTCTCGCGCATGGGAATGAAGATTCTACGCACGAAACCCATAGGATCCAATGCTGTTTGCTGTTAGTGCATCTCAAACCGGAAATCTCATTTTTCACTCCAAAATGTCGTGAAACTAAAAAATGCCATGATTCTTCTCCAATCGGTACTCCATTTTGTCCCCTTTTACGAAGGTAACGATCGTTCTCTTCTTTCGCACGTTTATTCGGCAAGTTCAGTAGAGACCATAAAATGGTGAAGGTAAACAGTGCAACGCCAATATTAGCGTCCCACTGTTCACCCGCAACGAAATAGTGGAAGTTTTGCCGTTCAGCTGGAGCTCGCGAGTTACGCCATTCAAGCATTTGGAGTTTGGTTGGAGATGTCCTTAGAAACATGAGAAATGGTAATTGGATTTGTTGTCCGACCAACGTAGCTCCTATGAGTGGCCCGGCCTGTTGAATTCAAAATTATATGCGGATTATATTAGAATCTTATTGACAGTCTCAATTGATGAAGAGATCATATAATAAGAGAGAAAGAAGAGTTCGCTATAATACATTAAATGTTAAAGATCTCATTAGTCATTTATTTAGTAGCTGACATGGTTATAAGAAGTGGCTGACTTGATTGAAAGGAGCCAATTTTACTCAACATTTTTCATCAGGACTTGGAATCGGAATTGGTTGTTTGAATTTTTTTTTTAAATATATCATTATTAAAAAAATAAATATATAGAAAAAAGAGAACTTATAGTGGGGAATAATGATAATCAATTTCAATACAAGTTACCTATAAATTCTCTCTTATAGTCTTCATATTATGAAATCATTATATAATCATTTCAAAAGCAATACAAACAGTAAGCTGCATCTTTGATGACTGCACTTTAACCAATTTTTTTTGTTCATGAAAACTTGCGAGATTAAATCTTCGTAACTTATTTTCAATTAATGTTTGTGGAAAATCATGATCTTGAAGCTGACATGGTCCTTTTTGCAAATGATATATTTGCACCATATCCCTCTCATTTTGATGATAATCACAAATTATTTTCTTAATCCAGGATTTGAAGGGATTTCATCAAAAATGAATTCTATACAAATTTGTTTGGATTATGCATTATTATCACTACGAATATTATCATGCACTTATGCTTTCCGATTTCCAAGTTTCCAGAGGAAAATGATTGGGAATTGCCAACGGAAATCTTCTGGCCTGGAGGCGAGATGTGAAGGTCTGCGAGGTCGCACGCAAAGCAACGAGCGAATTAAGAAGCCAAGAGGGGAATAGGCGGGATATGAAATCTTAATGTTTAGGTTTACTTAAAAGCAATTTATTTTTTAATATGTATAGGGTAAGTGATAACTATGCGGAACTCGTTCTGTCAGTGGAGGCCCGTGCCCCCAAGAAACCCAATGTGCATTCGCTACTGCCTATAGACTAAGTGCGAGGTGAAGATGATGATGTCATAATGAGAGAGAGAGAGAGAGAGGGAGAGAGGAATCTCGACAAAATCTTTTTTATTCAACCAAGATGTACAAGAGTAATGGAAGCGAGGGCTCTATGCTGTTGAGCTTAAGCTTAAAAAAAAAAGATAAAGAAAAATGACAACATATATTATTCTTGAAAAAAGGGAAATATGTCATCCTTCCTTTCTTCTTTTCTTCCCCCGGAGCTTGGGGAGTTACCATGGATTTGTACGAGATAAAACAGTTGTCCCATCTCTCTTTGATGTAGCTTGGCCGTCTATACCGAGTGAAGTGTTGATCAATGTGAGAGAGAACACTAGTAGGATGAACTTGCAGATTGATTTGGCATTGGTAGGAAGCTTGTTTGTGGTTGTTTTGTTGAGGTGCGATGGTCGGGTGGCGTTTGAATGTAGTGAGGAGATTAGACCGTCATATAGCAGGAAACTAGTATAAGGTCTTCCCGTTGAGGTGAGAGAGGCAAGTAATGTCTTGATGTGGTCCTGAGGTTGTTCATGTGAAGACAGCCAATAGGATTTCTGTAATTTCATTTGCTTTCCACGTCAGCATGTACTTTCTTGGTTTTTCCACTGCTCTCTCTGTCTTTATATACACCGTGTACCTTGTATTAAGTGAGATTAACGAAATACATTTTTACTGTTGATCATCTTCTTCCTCTCGTCACTGTTGCCATTTTCGTTCTCTCAACAGTTCAATTGCAAAAGATGCCTTGTGGGGGAAATATGTGCCGTTGGCTTAGTTGTTGATGTGTCTCCTTACATGGGCGACTTGATTCTGGTCGTGATGTATAAATATTTGAATGACTTAGAGATGAACTTTTTAGGTTGCCCTTGTCGGGGAGGGAGAATGTCTAGAAGATGTGGCTGAAGATGGTTCGCCATGTTCCAGTGTTAAGCTCCTTCCTAGCTTCTAAGAGAGTTCTTCGAACAAACTATTTCGAGAGAGTTATCCTTCCGTTGGACTCGAATGTAACATGCAAGATACCCGTGAACGGATATCTGCATAGATAGTCATAGATGTACAATATCATTGCTAGAATATTATTATTTGATCATTGTCGTCTGACCATTACCCTCAGTCTTCATTGTTTATACAACATTCTCCACCATATTATAGGAAGTCGAGCTTGTATTCCAGACTTTGTAATCTCATATTCCTCATTTGAGGGGAAGAGAATATCTTTGTAATCTCTACTTGAATGATAGATTATTTGAGGTACTGAACATCTCGACTGAGGATAATGGTCAGGCGAGCTTTGGTAGATTAACAGTACTATATATCTACTGTAATCTCTCATGATAGATTAACACTATATATTGAATCCTTTTCTTCTCCTCATTTCTTTTTTGACCTTGTATTTATATAATTTCGGACACTCTACGAGCAGCTATCTGAGATTGGCCACTGACTCCTTGAGCTAAGATGAGTTGCCCCCTCTAACTAGATCAGTGATTCATTGATCAGTTGGAGTGAGTGGCATCCTCAGGCTAGCCTGGCTAGGCAAGCAACTCCATTTAAGTCCTCACTCCACAATAAATATTTCGAGTCTCCTCGATGAGCTTTTATCCACTTATTGGGATACATAGTTGTCAACATGTCTAATTAAATTGCAAGAGAAGAACATTTTTTTTGGTTTTTTAAGCTATTCTTTAAAATTTAGGACAATTTTTTATTGTTTCTTAGAATAATTTTTTAGTATTAAAATTTATTTTAAAAGATAATAAAAAAATCATTCCAAATGAAAATTTTCAATCAGTCTCTGCTAGTTCGCGTTTTGTGAACGGTACGGTTGGGGATCTCTTGCCACCGAATTTTTATTACGTCCGGTGAAAATACCGAGCATACCGAGTGTACCGAGGGCGCTGTACCGAGCACGGTACCGAACGCTTTAGTGACGTGGCGTTTTGTTATTGGTTTCCGGATCCATTCGGTAACCTGACCGAATAATCACTCCTTGCCACCTGACAATTAACGTATTTGTTCACGCGTCTAAGGCAAATATGATTTACAAAAACATCATTATCTAACAGCATATCTTCTGATATTTATATATAAAAATGATGTTAAGGATTTATAAGCTTGTTTCATATAAACTTTTAAATATAAAAATGTAAAAATTATCTCTTCTTCAAATGGAAATATTTTTTTAAATATATTCTGATATAATTTATGTTAATAAATTTAAAATTATTAAATTTATTTTAAGATTAATAAAATTTAAAATTTTAATATACAATATTCATTTTAAAATAACTTCAGTAAATTTCGGAGTTATTTTTTCATTATAATATTTTTAAAATTAATGCTGTATATGACAATTTTGTAAGCTCATCTTAATATAAATTATATAAATTAAATAATTATTAGTTTTAAGACAATGGTGCTTACCCTTCAGAAAAAAAAAAAACTTTGACTAATATTATTAAGTCTCAAAAAAAAAAAAAAAAAAAAAAAAAAGACCCGAATAAGGTTAGAGATTCACGGTTACTTGTTAAAGGATATTTTCCTTTTAATTAATTATTATTATTAATGAGAGAGAGAGAGAGAGAATGGAAGTTTCGCATACATTATATTTTATAGTTACAGAAAATATAAAAATTTTAGGGCCCTCGTAAATTTTATATAATTTTTGTTTCCTCATTTATTTTAAAATTAATTTGTCCACTACTTGTTCAAAGGAAAAAAGTCCAATTGCAAGTGGGACCGATGCACATAGGAAGAAAAATGCCAAAAAATAATATAAGAATATTTTGACCTAAAATATAATAGTTTGAATTTATATTTTTTATTTTCAAAAAATTGACCCCCAATTTTCTAGTCAATTTTTAAATTCAAATGTGTCTCAAAGCTCTTAAGTCTTAAGATATTAGAGTTGTTAAAAAAAAAAAAAAAGACATTTATAGACGTCCAACTATTAACTAAGTTGTTCTTCTTTTAAGGGGGAGATTAATGACCAAGAAGACATCTATAAACATTAATAGTGACGAAGTCGTCAACGATGGTTGTAATATTGAGTGTCCGTATTTATAGTAATATTTGGAGTCAATGATGGTGATGATATTGGGCATTGAAGATTTTGGTGAAGTTGGGTGTTGATTAAGAGTTGGACTATATTGGTGACGACAAAAATAGATTTTATTCTTTTTTTCGGGGCCAATCTTAGCGGCAATGTCGAGGGTTAGCGAATGCCAGTGACATTCGTGACTATAAATGTTGACTTTGGTGGCGAGTTGCATTGAACTTGTTGGATCAACATATACTAGGGGTGTCAAAATCGGGTTATGGGTTGGATTTGAGTTGAATCCAACATTGATACGTCATTGTTTTACACGACCGGAGCACGTCCTGTTTTTTACAGACGGGTCAGAAAATACAACCTTGACCCAATTTTGCTGACGGGTCATTA